ACTACGATCATCTTCTTATGAAACAATATTCTATAGTTAAATCGATAAGCAAGTTCTACAATTTTTGAGATTTAACCATGTGTTATTTAGTTGTATTTATATGAATCCAGGCAAATTAATCGTAAGATAATAGATGTACTTGTAATTATAAGGTTAAATGTTTACATGTGAGATCGAAAGTTCTGAGTTCAACTACCAGATATTGAGTTGTGAACGTGCACTGGTGAGATGTGACACAATAAGACGAATCAGATTTCTGCTTTTTATAGGGTTTTAATTGTGAAGAAACAATAAAGGCTTGGATCAATTCACTTGGTATTGTTTGGCTTGTATCTTTCCATTGAGGTTTAAGACTGAAATTGATCAGTCTGTTATTGGCATATGTACAATGTTTTGACAAGTTAAGTACGTCAAAGCTTGTGTAAATAGACATCAAACTAATAATCGCGAGAAACTGTGAAAAATACGCAATGAGAAGTGTGCAAATAATCAAACACTGAAGAATATATACTATAGAAATAGAATAAAAACAATTGAAGACTGTGATAGTTTGATAAAAAGGTTTCCTAAGTTTTATCTTGTCAACACGAAATTAAAGGTAGAAGAAAGGATCAAACCTCGTTGGGAAACGACTAAATTACAGGACAGATTGCTTATTCTGGTTGGCGTTTTTTAGCAAGATTTTTTTCACACCCAACCTTCCTGTTTTACCCGAGCTTAGGACCAGCTGTAGCCCTAGAAGAGCTACAGGCAAAGTTAAACGGTAGATTACTGGAAATAATTTGGTTTCACCCATTACATGGTCAATGTTGACTATGTTTGATGAGATAGAACTATGTACTGCCTTTATTTATTCGTTTATAAATAAATATGGCGAGTAATACCTTAATCAATTAGAATGTAAACGATATATGGATCTGATTTTTTGCCAATTGTGTTTAACATGTATTCATATTGTAAAAAGGATCATAGATTCTTAGTTGTATAATAATGTAAACATTTATTCACATGGTGAGTGATCAAATTATTATTGTTTAATACAACTCAATTCAATGTGTACAAATCTGACTGTTAATCTAATTGTGAATAAATCACATAAAATGTGATGTATTCTTAAATCATTTCGATTTATTTGAAGAATCAAATAAGCCGAATCTTCGCGCTTTTTCTCTTCTGTCTTATTTACTGTGTAGATTCAGTCTAAGGTTATTAGAAGCGGTTAAAATTAGAACCAAACATTTATTCAGCAAAACTTTTCATAAAACACTTAGGGAATATTTTCTTATTCATTGGTTAATTTACCTAATGGTATAGTGAGTATAGCTTTCATGACAGGAGTAACTGGATTTGTTAATGCACACTGTATACGTAAAAATTAAACCACTTTTCCTTTATTCAAGATGATATCAATGATTGACTACAATATAACAAAATAAGGTTACTTATGTATTGATTAATTCTAACAATTCTCATCTGTCAATTACGTAAGATATCGTCAGCTAATTTGCTGTTGAATTGTTGTTTTAATTAGAGGAATTTCTATTATATATTCATCAAGTTATTTCTGTATGTTAGGACAAGGCCTGATGAAGATCTAAGTGGAAAAACACTTGTTTATATGTTTTGTTGCTAAATAATAAAACATTGAAAGATAATTAGTAGTTATTAACTTATAGAGTTATGTAATTTAATTATATAACCAGTGAAATATTTTAAGATCTGTAATTCTTCACTCAGTTTTATGTGTAACTATGAGATTGACGACTGGTTACTAAAAATTTCATGTTAACCTTGCGAACACAGATTAAAGCGCAATTGATTTATCTTAACTCTGATTTTTTAACTATTTATCCTAATTAATCGTACACTTGGAAGGGGAGGCAGATGGCTATAAAAGAAGAATAGTATGAAAAAATTATAAGACATTAAGACCATAGTAGATGAAAAGGTTGTACCAATTTCTTTTGGACACCCAATCTGTTTTACCCAGGTGTATTGCTAGTGCTTCAGCAATGCAAAGATGATGCAATTTATTTGTCTTTGGAAGATCTCTACTTACCTTGTAGATGACTTTGAACGCATAGTCTGACTTCATTGAGTGACCTGTGTTCACAAGGTGTTTGATTATTGAACTTTTGATTGAGCCGTTTCCTCCTCTTCGTAGACACGCCAGATAATGTTCTTGAATTCTTTCGGATAAAGAATGCATCGAACGACCCCTATACCTGGCTCCACATGAGCAAGCAAATTGGTAAATGCACTCAGAGTTGGCCAGATGAGATCATTTATCCTTACGGTTATTGGTGAACAGTGATCGGCAGAAGGATACTTTTCGCAACGTTGCTGCGAAGAACGCTCATTTTAATGAATTAGAAATTCTCCCCTTTAAGATATATGTGGCTCTGTCACCCTTAAAGTTGATATTCATGTATAATGTGTTTCTTTTTGACTGACGTTATTTGTTTTTTCGGCAATTTTAGTTTTATGTTCTTATCAATGAATATCGAAGGATACCCGTTTTTGATAAGTATCTCCTTCAAGAAGCCGTTTGTCCTCTATGACCCCGGGGTTACAAATTCTTTGTATTCGCGTAGCGAGCGACATTATTATTTTTTTCTTTCGACTAATGAGAAATCAACTGTAAAAACTTGATAGTTGGCCATTCCACATGAATTTCCTGTAGGTAGATCTTCTTAGAGTTCCATCTAGATTTCTTGTCATTTCCACACCAAGAAAGTGAATATATTGTTTCTTTTCAACTTCAAAACGTCTTTATTTTTGTTTCTACGATCCTCCTGATTACATTTAATCTCTATCTCAACATCTTATCATGTTGAGCCATTATTTCACAATGATGATTTCCCTATCTATCTTTTAATGAATATTTAAGCCATTAAGCAGTCAAACGATTATTAGTTTCCCTGTTTAAAAAAATATTTTTTTTAATACCTCACTGTCACCATATCTAACAGAAGTTTATTATCAGTATCATTGCAATCAGTATCATGTCCTGCAAAGAATAAGTGAATACATTTACGATTGTACAGCTTTGAAAATGAATTCACCCTGAATAGAGAACACTTCCCTGAACTAATCTTTCTTATTTAATATTATTATTAATTTTTTTTTATCAGAAATAAAGTTTGTTTTAATTTTACCATTCTATAACAAATTAACTAATATAGAATATAGAAAAGGTTCTACCGTTGATCAGACGTATAGTTTACTACTTCTCATAGAATGCTACTTTATATATATATTTTTTTATAAAAAAAATAGTTTACATTCAAATTTATACTCACTGGAAAAGATTAAAATTTGGGCGTAGACCAACTATTGACAATTTACCATGGTATTCTATGGAAAACAAGATGTTTAAAGTAAAAGTAACAATACAATTTAATTAATATAAGATTAGATTATTAATAATATTAGTAAGAATCTTTTAAAGGAAATACAATTAATTAGTTAATTCACAATAACTATGTAAAAGAAAAACTCATATTGTGTTGTGTGTGCTACTGATATTGATAGATATAAGTAGTATGCATCATCACTAGACAGTGAAGTGCCTGATGGCAGAAGATTAAAAAGATCGAAGAGAACAGAACAAAAACAAAGAATGAATGATGTGGATATGAAGGAACAATGAAGTATTAGACGATTAACTGATATGTTGCAAATGAAGTATTTATGGTATGGTTCTCAGATTTTACTGTGAGATTCTTCAATTTTGTATTCAAATATATTTAGTTGTCCCCCCTGTGTTTTCGTTCACTACAGTACCACTAGTAATACAATAAATAAAGATTGCAATATATTTTTAGTTTTTTTTCTTATAAATCATCGACAGTTTGTGTTTTGTTCAACAAACTTGTTGTCAATACCGTTTACTAAAAAAAGTTTTAAACGTGGCATGTACCTTAAAACCTGATTTTACTATAAACTACAGTTATAATTAAACCAGAAAACTGAACAGTATACACTAAAAATAACCACTATTTACTTATTTCACTCAAACAATGGAAACAAAGTAGATAGTAGCTCTAGTACTGCAGGTTAATGATACCTTTATTGCAGTGCTCTGCATTTTATCTTCGAATTGGTGGGTTTTTTCACTACTAGTTTTTGGACATATGAAATAGTTCAAGACACTAGTTGATATATTTTTATATCGATTTCTCCATGTTGACGTGAGCTTCTTTGTTATTCCACTAACCTTCAATTATATTTTTTGGTGGCCTTGTTTGAGATTAATTATTATCGTAAGGTTTGCTACTTTCATCTAACCTTGTATTCAAGTTAATAACCTTGCTCTGTTGACTTGTGACCAGGTTTAAGATTGATCCTTGTCGAATGATTTGACAGATCTTGTCAAATCTTGTCTCCCTCCGATCTGAGTGACATGCTTTTAGGAATTCTCTGTCATTTTTAGGATACATTATTCAGAATTTCGACATTTTTCCAGCGGAATCTATGTCCACAATTGTCTTCATGCTCTAGTTTCAGGGATTCCACATAGTCTTCATATGTAAAAACTCAAGAGTGAGTGTTTAAAACGGTAGTTAATCAATCGATTCTCTTTTTCAACTTAAGAGATAGTAGAATTAGTATTGTTCTTCGGAACTAACTTACCTTGTCCAAAAAGATGTTTATCTTTAATGGAGATTTGATCACATACTGACATAGGCTAAAAATGTCGAAACAATTGAATTGCAACAATATTTTGTTAAATTTCAGCTACATATATTTCTCAGTTTCATCAATTCGCGATGAAGCTTCATAATTATTTTATATCATCAATAACCGTTTGCATCACCTCTGGTACGATCTTTTTCACATATATATATATATATATATATATATATATATATATATATATATATATATATAAGACTAGTTAATCCAAATGGAACAAATTTCATGGAAGTCACTTGACATTGACTTCTTAAAAATATCCTAAACATGTTTTTGGTTTTTTTTGTTAACTTTTAATCTAGAGAATGTAAAATCATCAAGGATATGCATACACAGAAGCCGAAAGGATATGGATTTGTGGCCTATGCAACAAGACAAGTAAGCTTTGACTGAATTCCGCCGAAGTTTATACATATCCGTTTTAATATTGTTATTGATTGTCGTGAACTAATTTTTAACTAACTATACATACTCAATTGTAAATATTCCAAACATCCCAAAATACAATGCGATTTGAATTCATGAGATTAAATTGCTCTCCCTTTAAAAAGACAAACCTTTTCGTCAAAGATTTGTTGCAAACGATAAAAATTTTGTATAACAATTCAGACGTTCAAAATGTAGAATCCAATAACGTCAAACCGGAAACAAATCATTTATTGACAATATAGTCAGTAGGTCATCGCTTGGTATCCAGGTAATCAGTTGTGACTGATCTCAAATCAAGTTTTTTTTAATATGGAAAACATTAGGGCACCTTTCAGAATCAGTGACTAGCAATGCAGTGATTTTCGTAAAAGTTGTTGTTTGTAAATTAACAACAGATAACCAAAGTATTAAAGATAGTTTGTTTTACTCAACACATATTGTTGAAATGATATAGAAATTAAAGTTTCGTCACGCAGTAATATCAGCAGAAAAACCATTAAAAACCCCTTAGCATTCAGAATCGCCGTAAATTTCGGTAACTACGATACAAGGGTTCACTGTTTTACGTCAATACATCTTGTGAAATAAAGCTATTTTCATACAGACCACCAATTTCACGAAGTTCTCCTACACCCTATACAATAAGTACAAAGTAGGTACTCACAAAAAGGGTTAGATAAAAAGTTTGTGCTTTGTAAATTCGTTTTTTCAATGTCTAATAGTTTACGGATTTCTAAGTAAAATCATAGTTTACTGTAACTTCATTATACCTCTAAAGTAATCACGATTAATACAAAGAGTTTACCAAATCAACTTCCAGGAACAGTTTAAAGTGGCATGCATTTTAATGCTAGCTGTAATGATGCTTTTGTTGAGTGCTTGAATCACATGGTATTGATAAGGAAGTGTTCGCATCTTATCATATAGTGAAAATGACTGACGCACTAAACAAAACCTGCACTTATATTATACCGATCCCATTATTGCTCATTATCTTCTTATATATGGTTCATAGGTTATCATCACATAATAAAGCTTAGTCAACCATAAGATAAATCAACGAACACATTGTGAAAACTCGGGGAAATCATTTTTGATGGCTTTTGCATCTGGTTAACGACTAAATCATATTAAGGAAATTAGTACTTTGAATAAATGTCTTTATCTAAAGTAACTTTCTTTATGCAATAAAAGGTTCACTCTCAAGACTGGAAAACTTGGTAAGCTAAAGAAAAGCACCATACATATTTAATTCCATTACTTGTTTTAATGAAAAAATCTTAGTTTCAAAGTTTTGGATAACAAAACCCGCTTAAGCTCCGTAACGTGCTGTAGCTTAAAACAAATGAACAATAACGGAACTCAAGTAAGCATTGTCTGAAAATCATTCTACTTCGACATATTTACTGTGAATCTTTACTCGAGTAAATTATATTAAAATTAGTTAAATCGAAGAGGTACAAGTACTTTGAACTCCCTATCCATCCAACTATATGTAGAGCTAGCTCAGATTCCTACTCCACTACATTTTAGTGAATTTTATTGTCCTCTAAATTGACTGTTATGTTGTTCAATCAAAGAGGGTTGCTTAAAAAAATTGTATCAGATAGTGATGCTTTTCAAAATATTTTTCTATCACATTTATCTACAATATTCTTAACATAACTGGAGTTAAAATTACTCCGAATCATTTATCCGTAAATATTTTCGTCTTACATAGTTCAGTCTAATAGTGATCTTAACTATTGTGACTCAAAAGAACGAACATCTTTCAAAGGGAGACATTTATAATAGTCAATCTGTTGAACGAAATCCATTTCTCAAGAGTCATCTTTACTACAATAAACTTATTTCTCTATTTAATAACATTTCTTAAAAATAGGAAGCTGAACGTGCTATCCGTATCATGAACGGTCAAATTATTGGAACAAGAGCAATAAGAACAAACTGGGCAGTACGTAAAGATCCAGCAGACCAAGCTAAAGGTGAGTTATATCTAAAACCATTCCCATGTTATAATTGAGTCACTTTTACAAGTTGATTTGTTTTCAACCGACCGATACTTTCAAATGATCGAATTTCACAAATCACTCATCTAAAGAGTATTGGAAAGCTTGTAAGGGCTGACACTATGTCAATCCCACATAGGTTATTCTAGCCTCTCTAGAAATCAAGTATTCATTCTTGTCAAGCCACATTTTTATCCTGTCACTTATTCGCTTATCAACCTTGACCTTTTATTAAAGCGTATGTGTGTGCACTCCTTATCTTACACATCACATGTTTGTAACTTAATTTTATCTGACTATAAATATCGATTCACGCTTGATTAAATTAAATTGCCTTCTCCACCGCCCATCATTTCGTTTTGCTTCGCTTTTCGATCAACGATCGTACGAAATATACGTATTCAAAAATCCACTCCCGTATTTGACATATTTAATTCCGTTATTCACCAACGCGATTTAAGTCGATGATTATATTCGAGGATTGGTGACATGTATATTTCAATAACAATCATTCATACAACCCAAATAAAGTCAGATTTAGGGTCACTTAAAGTTCCATAACATTAAAATGATTTGATACACATTAACTTCTTTGCCAAATACACTTTTGTGCACTCCTTTCAGGGAAATTTTTAATGCACGGGGACAAGTGATGCCATCTTATTTTTTTAATATTTTATTATTTTATTATCTTTTGATTGAGATCATGAACCGATTGATGTTAGACCACCATTGAAAACCCGCAAGCACTGGACGGCCGTTTCGTTCTATTGTGGGACTCCTTAGAAGTGCGCATCCACGATCCAGCTCGCGGGATTTGAACCCAGGGCCTTCAGTCTCGCGCGCGAACGCTTAACATACTGGACCACTGAACTGGCATCCAATGCTATTAATGTCTAACCTCAACCAATCCACGAAATTGAGTGACCATCTTCCATAGTACTGAGGTAGACACCTGTTTCTACCCGACACGGACTAGCTCCACTGGTCACGGCTTCTCACCAGAACTCCGAGAATTTTCTCACGAAGATAGTCACTATTGAGCATATGGTAATTATCAGTTCAGGGGTCGTGGAGATTGTAAGGTTTTTAATTGAGATTATGAACTGATTGCTGAGGAGTTCCACAATAGGACAAAACGGCCGTCCGGTTCTTCCAGGTTTTCAATGGTGGTCTAACATCAATTGGTTCATGATCTCAATTAAAAACTTAACAATCTCCACAACCTCTAAACTGATATTTTATTATTGGTGGCTTTATTCAATATCATATTTTTGGTACAATACAGACTTCTCAGCAGGACGTATTTGAACAGGTTTCCTTTTATTATTTCTTGATCGATCCTGTAGATAAATATTGAGTGGTCGCCACTTAGATGTTATTAGTTCAGGAATCGACATCTGAATAGTGTATCTTCTTTTCTATGCATATTGCCAGCAACCAGGGTGTCTCTGATTAGGCTCTTTTGTAACTTGTATAACGAAATGTGTTAGGCTACAACAAACGCATTTGAATAAGTTATGAAACTAATAGGCATAATGATGTGTTAAAACAAACAAGAAAACAGATAACTTGTTGAAATATCCAGATGGCAGGAACGAGTAGTTCAGATATTCAAACAGGCCACATTGGCCGATGATTGTCTAAAATAATCCAAGTTACATGGGATTCAAACTTGAGACTTGGTTTTTGAAAAACCATTTTTGACCACTAAACCACCACTTTGTAACATAGTACTGTTAGCTAACAGCTGACAGACATACAATCTTAAACAAAAGATAATCATGTAAAACTTAAAATGGTGGAGTTTATCTAAAGTAATCTCAGAGAAGAAGTTCCAAAAAAACCTTGCAAAACCACAACTGGAATCGATAGCAGTTGGTCGATATATACAATTACAGATATTCAGTTACTGTATAACCTATCATTTGTGTATTTAGGTAGGTATATATATACTTAGAATTAGATGCTTGTTTTTATTTTACAGATATCATGACTAGTAGCATTAGTAAATTATTAATGAGATAAATATTAGAAATATCTTAGTATAATAACTAAGCCACAGAAGTTTCTAAATTATTCAGTTATACTTTGAAATGTTTTAACTGATCATCTAAGTAAATGAATCCTTCCAGTAATAAAAGGATATAAATCGACTAAACAAAGTTTCCTTTTTCAAGTCTACAAAACATAACGATCTGAAACATTTTTAGCAAATAATAGCTCGACTAATGGACAATTATAGTTACATAAGTTCTGCTTTTAACAATATCTTTCTATATATGTATATAATACTGTGTTTTAGATTCAATGAAAACATGATACCAGCTATTATTTTATTAAATCATATACCTCAGTGATGTACCATAAACACTGGTAATAATCACTGTCTTTTAGCTTACGCTGATCGATGTATAAACTAAATTTATGTTTATTGAAAATGTGGTGTGTGCTACTTATATTGACATAAGTAGTATATGATGTTAGTCGTGAACAGAAGGTCTGACAGCAGAGAGAAAAGAGGATCGAACAGTAAAGAATGGAAACAGGATGCAATTTGTATGAAAATGAAAGAACAATGAAGTCTGAGTGCTTTTGAGACAATTGGTGGACATTTTGCAAATTAAGCATTTACTTTATGATTGTTAGATTTTATTAACAAGTCCTATAATTTTGTGTTGAGTACATTCAATTGTCGTCACCCATGTCCTTGTTCACTACAAAAAGTCCCTCTATAAACAAAATGTATGTCTTCGAGTCTACTGCCAATTATAATCCAAAAAATATCACAATATTACTGTTACAAACGTTGAGGAGGTATTTATTTGAGGCGAAGTTATGTTAACAGTGGTTGATCAAAGACATTCCAAAATATCAACAAAGAGAAATTACAAAACGTCTTCAAATAAAGTACCCAGTTTCTAAAGGTTTGTATTTTCTTGTTGTTGATACTAAGTACTGCAAATGATAAGTCTCTGATAACATATGGTTGACATTTGGTGATATATTTTTGTTAAATATTGGCTAGCAGTGGAAAATGGTACGCGAGTTTCCTTTTTAACGCGATGGGTCTGATGAATGTACCCGAATCTCAATGATGATGTTCATTCTAAGACTCAAATGTAGTACTCTACAGGTAAAATATAAACCGTTTCTCAAGCAATCTGACTATATTGAATCAATGATTCAGTGAATAAAACTTTTATGCTCAAAGTAAAAGGGGTGAAGCATGAATATCTGTGTGGACATCAATATTACGATACATAACAAAACCACTAAATGAGTCCCGTATATAAAGAAACATGAATTCCACTACTAGCCTCTGTTCAATTCTACTGATGACTAACCCAGTACTTTAAGTGGAGGAATATTAATAATTACGTGAGGATAATAACAATATCTGATAGATAATTATTGTGATAAAAAGGTTTTCTGTTCTTCCGTGCCGTTCATTTAGACAAGTAGCACTTAGAGGATTATATATGTGTATATATATAACATAAATTCAACCATCAATCTTTTTAGAGGTTTTTAACACCATCAATTCATTGTTATTGTTACTTTCCACACATAAATATAAACACAAAACAATGTATTATGAGACTTTATTAGAGCTTGAATTCATATTTTCTACTTTAAAGAAATCGTTGTACCGATGTAATACACTGATATGTCATGAAAACTACGCTTTACTGAATAAGGCAAGATTAAATCTATTCTCATTTGTATTATTAAGGATTTAGAATTGTCCAGGTATTGCGTTGAGTCATTTAATTGTGAAGTTAACATTGTCTTTTTAGATAAAATCATCAGTATAAATTATTGAGCTATAAATCATTTTAATCATCTCAAGATTAATGAAGATAACAGAGACATTTTGCCTTATGATTGTTATCCTACATTAATATAGATGTGAAGAAAAGCGTTTTACAGGGTAAACTAATCCTTATGCTTATTAGAACCACTGAGATCGGTGTGTCCTTAATGCTAAAGAATAAAGTGGCATTTAATCAATTTCATTAAGATGACTACTTAAATATTTTCCATCTATCTATAAATGACTTACATGTACATCCCTTAGAACCTTCTATAAGTTTCATTGATTACTATAAATTACTATTTCCTGATCATTAGTAGTTTTGAAAATTCTTTTTCATTTGTTGAAGCATTGGTTTATGTATAAACTTACATAGTGGTATATATTTTTTGATCCCTTTCGATATTCACCCAAACTTTATAGACTTCTTATATTTCTATTAAAAAAATTATTAAGTCCATTGTCTTGCTTTATATAATATGACTATGTTCATCAATAGTTCGACAGAACAAATATTATAATTTAAGGAACAAATTTTGTTATGGACCTGAAGTAACTTGTTGTTCTATTAGCTTATTATGGTGAAACCTATTAATGGATTAGAAACTGATAGTTCTTATCATAGTAATTCTAAATCAAATGAAATGATATATTCCAATATTAATTGTGGTAAATTATCAGATTTGATAAATTAAGGCTATCAAGTTTTTCTTGGATACTTTGTTGAAGTAGACATCGATAACTGGATATTGTTAACACTGTATGTTTTCGGTAAACTCTGAAACGTGTTGATGTAATTCACAGCTATAAGAACAATATTAAGGAGGAAGATTGTATTTGTAAAATATCAGCGAATGGATTTGAAGTAAATTCAACCTTTTGCTTGACAATCTGATCCAAGATTTTTCAAGGAAATATAATCAAACATCGAAATTATCTAATATGATAGTGTCTTCCGCGCCTAAATACTGTGAATCTGTTTTTTCAAATTTCCCTGGCCTCTGCCAGGGAAGTCCTACTCACTGCCGTCTCACACCAGTAATGTTGTTCGCGAAATTGAGAGAGCGAAAAGCGAATGTCCGGCGCTTTAACCGGGTTAGTGGACATGGAGGGTCCACCTAGGGGAGTTGGAAAACCCTGATTCCAAACCAATGGTGCACATGGGATCCAGAATCCTGAAAAAACAAAAGGCGTATGAACCAATCGTTGGTCACTGGCAACCATGAGACTGCATCTCCTTATGATGCTCTACTGCCTTGTGGATCAGACCTTTAGGTCAAAGACTCCGAGTGTGGCCTCCTAAGAAAACCACCTGTTTTGGTTTGAGCACCCGGGCAGTATCCCAGACCTCACACAAATCTCATTCGATTTGTGTGGCGAATATGTGTCTGGTGCGCTCTTGTACCAATATTTATGTGTTCAAATAAATAAATAATAATTAAAAGACGGAAGTTCATCTATTTAAATAAATAATGCCATAATTAATGCTGTATATGGATGTGGGTTTTGTAAATGTTAACTAATTAGGCTTCAAACAGAAATGTGCTCCTTTGGATAATCATACGAAGCTAAATCAAATAGTTTTGGAAAAACAAACACTACATATTATGAGGATTATAATATACAAATTTAGAACGAAAATTTCCATTGGTTTGTGAAGGTCATTTTCGTAATCATAATCATAATCACAAATCTACCTATTGAAACATTTAACATAAAAACTTAAAGAATAATTAGGCGCAATATTAAATTGGCATAAAATGTAAACTAAGAATCTCCAGACTAGGCTCGGATTGTTGATAAATCACGTTTAAAACTCAAATAAGGTTGCACTATGCATTAATTTTAAAAGTCAGCCCTAACAATCTTTGCAGAAGTATCAAAAAGTAATTTGAAATTCTGTCACCTTTAAGTTTATTGGAAATAGTGGCGGTAACTACAGAAAAGTAAATTGTGACCAGGGTTTTCGAAATGCATTTCATAATTACTCAACATTTTTTTGAAATTATCTTTCGTCTTGTTAGTACATTTTTGGAATTTAAGAAATTATTACTCGTTTAAAGCCATGTTGTGTATTGTCAGATGTCAGACTTATACAATTTTTGTGATGTTTCCAGACTTGAAAAACAAAACACAAAACAACTTGTAACATACCGATGTTATAGTTAATAAACATATAATATCAGACTACCTATCAGACACCAATCAATCTACTGAACTAACCATAGGCGAAAAAAAATTTAAGGGAAACATTTTATAATTTTTAAGGACTTCAATGAATTATATTTAAAGAACCACGATCCTATCAATGGTGCCTAATGATAATGGTAAACCAACAAGTTAAAATCCAATGGTTAATATTTCTAACACTTTCATGCAATTAGTCCCCTTTATGAATTTAAATAAAACCAGAAAAAATATTTGATACAGAATAATAATGAATTCATTACATTCCGTGGTTTCTCGTAAGCTGCTAACAATCAAATATGTATTGGAATTTTACATTGAGATAAGAAATAATATGGAACAATTGACATGAGTGAATGTAAAGGATTAGAATGACAAAGGTTATCAATGATGACCATATATAGTCATAGAACAATTTAGAGGTTATTTGATGTTAGAATCAAGGAAATATTAAGGATGGGTGGTGTAATAACTGAATGGAATTTGAAGAGTTCACATAATTTAAGAGAATCAAGTGAGTGAAAATGTATGAGTGAAGAGGTGGTTTAAGTATTCAGTAATGGAAGAGGAATATAACACAAACTAAACACTAAGAAAATAAAACTGATTATAAAAAAATACAGATTACCAGGGTAGTAATAAGTTTATTACTGTCACCTTTTGAATACACAGATCCAGTTTGAGTTTTTTATCGCGATCGCTTCAGAAAAACGGATAGAAGCCGTATTTCTTTGTCTGGTAATCATTTTAAAAGCACGAGGAATGTTAATGGTATGCCCGGTGTCAAGTAAATGCCGAGCTATTGCACTTGTGAGAGACCTTGTGTTATATTACTCTTCCATTATTGAATTCTTAAACCACCTCTTCACTCATATATTTTGACTCACTAGATTCTCTTAAATTCTGTGAACTCTTCAAATTCTATCCAATTATTACATAACCCATCTTAACTGTTTTTAATTCCATGAATCTTATGTAAACCCTTCATTACCTCTAAAAGTTATCACACAATTTATCTTATGTCTCTCTGAACCTCACTCAATTATTACACCACCCATCCTTAATGTCTACTTGATTCTAACATCAAATAACCTCTAACTTGTTCTATGACTATATATGGTCATCATTGATAACCTTTGTCATTCTAATCCTTTACATTCACTCATGTCAATTGTTCCATATTATTTCTTATCTCAATGTAAAATTCCAATACATATTTGATTGTTAGCAGCTTACGAGAAACCACGGAATGTAATGAATTCATTATTATTCTGTATCAAATATTTGTTCTACCTTTATTTAATTTCTAACTCTAATCAATTCTTGGTAATAATCCATGAATAAAGATTGAAATATAGAATAAATTCAAGTAACATTCTATTAAACTTTATGAACATACTAAATGAGATTAAAAGTAGATTCATTAAAGCTTTTCAATTAAGTTATTCTCCCTTCGATTTTCGTTGTTGTTGTTCTTCTTCTTATTATTTTTTTCAATGTTTGTTCTTTTTTTATTCTTTTTTTTCATCGTTAATCTATCCAAATTTTTTCGTTGATTATTATTTTTGTCTTTTTTCTTTCTCTTCTAGATCATCGTCCATTAAATTACTTAGAAGTATTTAATGCATCATCTGCTGCAAATACAACAATTTATGTTGGTGGTATAACTAATGAATTAACTGGTAAATGAAAATATTTAATTCCCTTTTGTGTGTGTGTGTGTATAGATGTATATATATAAATGAGATTTTTATTGATTATTTTTTTTTGTAATTTTATTAATATGATTAGGTTTATTATCATTTTATAGTTTTCTATTACTTCCTATTCTACTTCATTGAAAAATGAACTTCATTTTTATATACTGAAATGAATAGGAAATCATTTAGTTTCCTTTATTTTTTCTAAATTATAATTCTATAATTAAAATTCAATAACCAATCATAATTATGACTCTAATGAGTTATAATTATGGGTGTTATACATTCAATATATATTCAATATACTGATAATGTATATTTACAAAACTACAGTTTGTTTAAATAAACTAACTATAAAATGATTATCAATTAAAAGAAAACGTAATTCATTTTTACTAAGCATTAAACAATAAGGAAAAATATAATATTATCTTTAAGTATTTATATAATGAGATTTAAAGAAACTATGTTGTTGAGATTAGATGGTGGTTGGACGTAGTCGACAAGAAATCCTGGACCCAGGTTTCGTGCTACTTGGCACTCGTCAGCAAAGTGTATCTGTAATCTTGAGGGAACTGGTGCTCCCTGGCGGATTCGATCTCATGTCACCCAGCTTCACAGTCAGAGACTGAGCTATCCGAGCCGTGACTAACCTCCTGTTGAACTGAGATGTAATCACAATTGATTGATCACTGGGTGGCGATCCATGTCATGCATGTCTAGTCCTTATTAGTGCAGATCGAATGCTATCGATCTCAATATATAGTGCTCGCAGTGTCGAGTCACCTAGACTGGTGGCCACATTGCAACATGATCGATAGCATACGATCTCCACTAATAAGGACTAAACACGCATGACATTGATTGCCACCCAGTGATCAATCAATTTTGAAACTACATTGTTGTTTCTTTTGTTTTGTTTGTTGTTTTGTTTAAAATCGATAAGCAATAAATTGATTTTATAGTAACCAACTGAATTACAATGTCGCATCATTAAAATAATTTAGAAAATCTATCTATACTATTGATAATTATATGAGTGAGTTAAATAGATGCATTGGCTATGCTAATTTAGTTTAATTTTAACTTGAATATCTTATTAAGAGTAGTTGTATGTATTCACAAGTAGGAAATAGTGTTTGAAAGGAAAAAAATAAGTTGAAATACTCGTGACTAAATTAAAATGGATGGAAGTATATAGATGTATATATAACCAACCTGGTTTTCAATATGTTCTATCATATCATTTTTACATGAACAGCCTACAACTTGAAAACCAGAGTTTAAGTAGTTTATTCTCACTGGCGATTCTGAAATGGGGTGCGATTTACCAGATGTGGTTTTTAATCCTCTTCTCAAACCTCCTTCAATACTCAGGTTCCGATCCGATGTAGTAGCTTCAGAGGTAATCTATGCAGAGTTATCTGTAATCAACTAAATATTCATATTATCAGAGAGGGACATTGGTGGATATTGTAGTAATTTAATAGTTGGATTCATGAGTCAATTAAGGCTAAAGCACCATGGAAAACCTGGAAGCACTGGACGACCGTTTTGTCCCGGTAATGAACTCCTCAGCAGTGCGCAACCACTACCCCGCACCCCGCGAGATTCGAAGACAGAACGTTTGTTCTCGAGCACAAATGCCTAACCTTCAGACCACTGAACCGGCATCCAACGATGTAAATATCTAACTTCAACCAATCCATAGTGGCGCAATTTTGTGGATTGGTTAGCTATTCATAAACAAGATCGCGAACAATACCTAGAAATATATATATTCATATATAAATTCACCTTTTTGTTATAAATTTCCTACCATCTAAATTAAGAGACCTCATTTTACGAAGCAATATGCTAAAATGTGACGGTATGCAATGCGACTGTTAATTTTACGGTAACAAATTGTTCAGTATATTCTCAACTTATAACCCCCTTACATTACTTAATATTTTGTCCATTAATTTGCTAGTGTTTAAAAAGATTTTCATGAGTCAGTTGTTATTCTTTGGTGTCATCTTAGCAAGTTTATAGACGTCTCTTAAGTTAACACTATTTCCCAATAATCGACAATATGTTACAAATGTTCCAGAACAATTCACTGCCTTAGCTGTTGACGGCTTTAGTACATTTCAAACCTATCAAAAATCGATTATCTATGTCACTTAATTATTTGAATACCAAAGAAAACGATGATTGATTACACTAAAATGTGATAATAACTTTTCATTTTAATAAATAATAAAAAGACATTTAAACGAGCAAATGTTCTTGTATATTGTTACGAATTATTTTGTAGAGAAACTTAAAAGATGTAAAATAAGACCTCAATAATTAAATTTCGTAGGCTGACAAAATAAGCTGGAAATTTAATACTTTGTTTATTTGCACAAAGTCGCTTAATATTAAAAAATTCCTTTGGGGGATATTTAACTAATATAGTTTTATCCTCCTGCCAAAGTAATAATAAGTAAAGATGGATGGTGGCTATCAGTGGAATCTAGAAAGTGCGTTTCGTTCTATTTAGGATTCATCAGCTGGATGTACCTGCACCATAGAGTTGATGTATCACTGTGGGACTTGAACATAATACCTTTCCACTTGGCTACCAAGTCCATATAGCTACTACCTATTGCAATGGGGTGAAATTTTAATTTATTTAGGATTGTTTGTTTAAGTCTTCCCACTGATCAGCTACAATCCTAAACATTGATTTGAAGATTCAAACAAACAGTAGAAAAATGTAATGATAAATATCAAATTTGTCTAAGCCTGATTGTTTATTATCTTAGTCATTCACACCATAACCAATTCATTTTGCATTAGAAGTGAGAACATAAAATAATGAAAATTTAATTGTCATTTATTGAATCCAGTTAGATAATTAACGTATGAAACTATTAATATTTGATATGTTTTAACTTCAAAATAATACTAACTGAGCATAATGGTCTGTTCCTAACTGTTATAGTAGAACAACTGAATTGGTAAATTTCAAGAATATAATACTAGTTTACGTAATACGAATAATAACAATAACAATAGATTTAGTGAATAGAATAAGATGATTAAAATGTCATAGAGGTGTAAAACATAAATATGGTGGTATGATGAGCATTTACGAATAAAATAATGAGAATATAAGACATAAGTAAAGGGTGAATGCAGTAATAATAATAATAATAATAGGATAATCAAAATAATTAAGGCCAAGGTAACGATAACGATAAGACGTACTTCTTTTGTACGCATAGTTCTGGTTCAAGCTCCTGGATGGTAAGAGCTTCGGCTATTTTTTTAAGAGTTGGATACAAAGAAATATGGGTAGATTTGAACGAATTATATAAACAACCTTAAAATCAGATTGTGGATCTGTAGAATGGTTATGTTGGATTAGATGTTAAAGTATAGAACTCCTAACTGCTTTCCTTTCATCCTTATAGAACCAAGCTGGGATATGTTATTTATCCATAAAAGATAAGCTTCCGCGTCTGGTCACCTCTATGTGCATCTACCAGTTCACCTGCTCTTGTGGAGAAAGGTACATTGGCCGTAGCCAGCGCTCGCTTTCAATTCGGATACGGGGACACGTCCCAGTTTGGTTCTATAAGGGTGAAAGGAAAGCAGTTAGGAGTTCTATACTTTAACATCTAATCCAACATAACCATTCTACAGATCCACAATCTGATTTTAAGGTTGTTTATATAATTCGTTCAAATCTACCCATATTTCTTTGTATCCAATTCTTAAAAAAATAGCCGAAGCTCTTACCATCCAGGAGCTTGAACCAGAACTATGCGTACAAAAGAAGTACGTCTTATCGTTATCGTTACCTTGGCCTTAATTATTTTGATTATCCTATTATTATTATTATTATTATTATTATTATTATTATTATTATTACTGCATTCACCCTTTACTTATGTCTTATATTCTCATTATTTTATTCGTAAATGCTCATCATACCACCATATTTATGTTTTACACCTCTATGACATTTTAATCATCTTATTCTATTCACTAAATCTATTGTTATTGTTATTATTCGTATTACGTAAACTAGTATTATAATCTTTTTACGTCATGGTTACAATTTCAAGAATATATACTGTAGTTCATTTGTTACAACTCTCTCAAGTATAGATAAATGGTCAACCATTTATCAACATAAGCGCAACGATACATCTGCGTGTAATATCACATCAATTTAATATGACCAATGAAATTTGAGATTACGCTAAAGTTCAGGCTTGAGTTCGTGGATTGCTAATGCCTCAGCAATGCATAAAATATTGATTCGACACCCCTTTGATCCAGTTCCTTTGACTCTGTAGATTACTTTAAAAGAATCTTTTGGAGCGATGTGTCCACAGTTAAATAAATTTCAACAGTTGAGATCATGAGTCAGCTAAAGCTAGACCACCATGGAAAACCTGGAAGCACTGGATGGCCGTTTCGTCCTATTGCGGGACTCCTCAGCAGTGCGCATCCACGACCTCGCCTCGCGGGATTTGAACCCAGAACCTATCAGTCTCGTGCACAAGCGCTTAACCAACTAGACTACTGAGCGGGATGACATCCAACGGTGTTAGTGTCTAACCTCAACTAATCCAGGTTTTTCATGGTGGTCTAGCTTCAACTGACTCATGATCTAAACTGTTGAAATTACTACAATCTCCACAAAACCCCTCCTGAAATTAATTAAATGCTCTTGTATAGAACTAGTATATATATACGCCTATGTACAGCTTCAGTAAATGATCTCGTCAAAAAGAAAATTTTCTTCCTTGAATTCTCTTTTTCCTATTCAATGACACTATGGATTATTTTAACAATTTAATATAATAAAATTTATTTTATTTTATATTATATTCTTCATTTTTTCATAGAGAAACTTCTTCAAGATTCATTTAAACAATTTGGTGAAATCAAAGAAATTAGGATATTTAAGAACAAAGGTTTTTCATTTATCAGGTAAGTATTCATAAATGATTCATTTCAACTTTACACTTCACTAACATTAGTTGTGATAATGTGTATTTCTATAAATAAATAAAAAAACGAGACATATTTGTTATATGGAACATAATTCAATAAGAAATAAAAAAAGACACCCTAATTGAAACTATTGAGGTCAATTTGAATGTAGGTCATTAAAACATAATTTACTACTTAGTTGATGAGTGATTTTTTAAAAATAAATTTGTAACAATAATGTTCTAATAATATTCGAACGATTATATTTTATAGAAAGATAAAACCCATTTCGTCCATATATGCTCTTTTAACCTGATTCATATGTAGTTTATTTCCAGTCAAGAGTTTCATTCCATTTGATTTCGTTTTGTTAATGGAAAAAAAAGTTTTATGACTTGGATGATTAGATTCTTTTTTTTTTGAATGATTATCTGCATGGAAAAGTTTTTTCATTCTGTTTAACATTTAGAGGGGTCCCAACGAAAAAAATATAAAAATAACAGTTGTTTATAGAGAGGAGCCAATATATGAATCTATCATCATTTTATCTGACGAAGTACAAATATATACGAAAATTCAAACCCCCTTTGTGTGTTCAAAAACAGTTTGTTCTTACCTTAACCCTACCCTGGTAATAATGACTTACTATACAGAGGGATTAGGTTTTGCATTGTGTTCACATTATTATTATTACTCTTATCATTATCCTTATCTCCTCGTACCCCGTTTTCAGTCTAGTTCACCATTTATTTTTATATATAAATGCTCTTAACAAGTATATGTGTGATCAGATTGTTCGAAATGTATTGCGCTAATATATCACATAGTTCTGATAATCTTTGTCTTCTAATTATATTATCGAAATTTATCAAAGGGACTAACTGTTTTACATTTTTTATCACTTGGGCAAAGATCAACGGATTGATATAGGGTTCATTGTTATAATTGATACTCTGTAGGTTCGATATTGGGGGAAACGATGTATTACTTAATACCCTACTCCAGTATATCTTCATGTTTATTGGCTATCTATTTCATATTAGATGACAATAAAGTTTATTTTGAAATTGAATCAATCACTACAAATAACTTAACTATAATGGGCAACTTAAAATCCCAGTTTCAATGAATTACTCTAATTACAGTTGAATAGCTTGAAATGAATTTGATTGGTGAAAGAAACATCTTTTCTCTTAAAGCACATACGTTTTTAGGGAGGTACAAGATAAGTGCCTTTTTGTTCCGCGAAATAAAGTAGAAAAATAAACTACGAAGACATAAATAGGATAACTATTTCTAAGAGTAAATGTTTTGTAAGATTTCCCTGACTACTGTGTATAATTTTCATAATTTCTGTTTTACATTGAACTTTGTTTAATCAATAAAGTTTGATTTGAAGCAGTAGATTGACAATCAATTTTGTTCTGTGAATTTTGATCTTAATTAATATCAAAATGAAAATCAAAAACGTAGTTTGTTTTAACCGTTCAAAAACTACATTAATAGCACATTGAAATCAAAGCATTACCCATTTATTTACTCTAATGAAAAACCCATGAAAAAACATTAAAATAACTACAAGTAGATGTGCATATATTGGTGCGTTTGTAATAACAATGTCTGTAAGTGGTCGTCACTGTAAAACGAAGTAAAATGATTATTATAGTTTGTTAATTATTCTAAATGCACTACTCGGCTCCACTCTTTTTTTACTATTCGAAAGATATCTTAAAATTTCACTTTTGACGATTTTACCACCGTCCAACAACAGGTTCCTAAGAAGTCGCCTATAAAATCTGTTCTTTCCGTCCTCTCTAGATATTTGCTAAATCACAAACATGTAAATCCATGGATGATGTTGATCTACTCTTGAATGACATAGCATACACTGGGGTGTTGCATAGCGAAACGGTTCGAGCAGCAAGAAAACATCTTTGAATTGCAGCGGTGATTCCATCACAAAATCATAATCTCATCTCTATTAGACAGAGAGGGATATATACGGGTTTTCGTGCAAACAATTGCTTATTGTTTATGTTCAGGATATTCTATTCTATATTACGTTGTAAATTTTCTTAGATACCAGTTTTTTAATAAGATTATTTCTAAAAAATAGGCAATTCTTCATTTATCTTATAGTGTGAGTATAATATTTCAGCTCTGTTAAAAGACTTTTACACGAAATACCTCTTCCAGCTGTCAGTTCAAAGGTTGCTATGAAATTTTTCACAAAAATTATTTTTCAATGTTTAATCGATAGTTCACTAAGCTTCAGCGTTCATAAGATTATGTGCTACAAAATGTGATTTTGATCTGTGAAAGTACTTAGCTTTACTAATAAACATCTTAATATCTACATAATGTGTTTGAATCTCCTCTATTCATCTTTTAAAAGATTCGATTCACATGTGGCTGCTACTCAAGCGATTGTTACAATGCATGGTAAAATTGTCGGTGATCAAGCCTGTAAATGTTCATGGGGTAAAGAACCAACCTTTACCAATAAACAAGGATTAGTAAGTGAATTCATATATATAAAAAATAGGTTCGCTATTCTCTAAATAATATATTAACCTATACTGTGAAACGTTTCGTATAAACTCGGTTTTTAAATGTAAAGCAATAATTTTTTTAAAATATTGCAATAAATGAAAAACACATCGAAAACTTCCTAGTCATCCTAATAATAAATCAGTTTTTTAATTGTTTTAAAACAAAAAGTTTCATAAAATCTTTTTCTATCATTTATTGCAGGTCAATAATTAGATAGGAAATTAAAACAGGTTTAAATATTCGTTTGTAATGATACTTTTCTTGAAAACAAAGTATCCTTTATAAGCAAAGATGGATAGTGGCTAGCAGTGGAATCCAGGATGTTCACTTTGGGAATCGAACCTAATATACTTCGCTTCAAACGCCATCGCCTTATCCACTTAGCCACTGAGTCCTGATGGAAGGTACATCTATCTGACAAGTCCCAAATAGGACGAAACGTGCGCCTTAGTTTCCACTGCTAGCCACTATCCATCTTTGCTTAAAAATCTTGTGAACTAAGGCTATATCAAGGCAATCTGTACAAGATACCCATATGCCAACAAGAGACTGATCAATTTGTCTTAAATAACAATGGGAAGATACAAGTAAAGCAATACCAAATGAATTTAAAGTATCCTTTATTTCGAAGAAAAAACAACAACAACTCATCATACACATATCACACTGAAATACTCCTATTTCCTTACGAAAAGAAAACAGAAAAAAAAAATTTCCTTTCGATTTTGAAAAGAGTGCGAAATATTGTACACATTCAGAAAATAAACTTTTTTCCTATTGAACATCATTAAAATTTCTATATATTTAATAATTTGATTTTCATGTCAAGTTGTCTAAGTGTTCCATATAAATTTAATTTGTATAAATGAAAAAAAAGACAAACAAAACAACAAAAATTAAAAAAAGAAAAGAAAACGTTTGGTGTGATACAACGTTACTTTTTTTTTCTTTTATTATAAATATATTTTTTTAATTTTCATACTTTTTAATTGTCTGTCAATTCTTATACGTATGAAATGATGACTATGTTTCTTTGTTTTCCTTTTCTTTGAGCTTTAACAAACAATGTAGATGTGATCTCGATCAATTTTCAATTACTCGTCTATATTGTCTATAATATTTCTACCTTATTGTTTTTTTTAAAAAACACACTTGATTTTAATGCGAATAAACAAATTTCAATGTGAATCTAATCTGATGAAGTTGTCATAGTTATATAATTTAACAAAATCATTTCAGAAGGGGTTTGTGGAGATTTTAGAAATTTTCACAGATTGAAATCATGAGTCAGTTGAATCTAGACCACCATTGAAAACGTGGAAACACTGAATGGCTCACTAGTGACTGACTTCAAGAGATACTTCTGGAGTTCTAGTGGGAAGCCGTGACCAGTGGAGTACAACCAAGTCTGTTGTGAGATATCAGCTCACTGAAGACAATGGTATATGATGGCGCAACTTCGTGGATTGGTTGAAGTTAGACATTAACACCGTTGGATGCCGGCTCAGTGGTCTAATGGTTAAGTGCTCGCGCGCGAAGTCAGTAGGTCCTGGATTCGAATCCCTCGGGGTGCGAGATCGTGGTTGCGCACTGCTGAGGAGTCCCATGCTGGGACGAAACGGCCGTCCAGTGCTTCCAGGTTTTCAATGGTGGTCTAGCTTCAACTGACTCATGATTTCAATCTGTGAAAATTATTGCAGTCAATAATTTTTCTTTGTTTTTTTGTTTTCACGTTATTACTTAAAACTATCAACTTCAATCAGCGATTGTTTTTTGTTTCTTCTTTGGATTTTATACAGCAATAGTGAAATCTAAATCTTTTGACCGATTTTAAAAGTTTTGTTTCATATAAATTAATAACATAATGTTATTATTAAAAGGGGTATTGTGGATATTTTAGAAATTTCACAAATTGAAATCATGAGTTAATTGAAGCTAGACCACCATGGAAAGCCTGGAAGCACTGGACGGCCGTTTCGTCCTAGTATGGGACTCCTCAGCAGTGCGCGTCCACGATCCCGCACCTCGCGAGATTCGAAACCACGACCTATCAGTCTCACGCCAGGCGCTTAAGCAGCTAGATCACTGAGCCGACCGGTATCCGACAGTGTTAATGTCTAACTTCAACCAATCCACAAAGCTGCGCCACTGTACACCATTGTCTTCAGTGAGTTGATATCTCGCAACAGACCTGGTTGAACTCCACTGGTCACGGCCTCTCACTAGAACTCCAGAAGTATCTCCTGAAGTCAGTCACTAGTGAGCAGGTGATTATTATCAGGGTTTTTTTAGAGATTTTAGAAAGTTCACTGACTGAAATCATGATAAAGAGCCTCATACTAGGTTGAAACGGCCGCTCAGTGCTCCCAGGTTTTCAAAGGTGGTCTAGCTTAGATGGACTTATTAATTCAACTACTGAAAATTGCTTAAAAACGCTTGTTTAGCTTTGAATACTTATTATATATACATAGACAGGTTAGGTCCTGGGTCCCAATCTCGCGGGGTGTGGGATCGTGGGTGCGCACTGCCGAAGAGTCCCATACTAGGACGAAACGGCCGGCCGGTGCTTTCAGGTTTTCCATGGTAGTCTAGCTTCAATTGATTCATGATTTCATTCAGTGATAATGTTATTAGTTGAAGAGAAGAATTGGAGGTGAGACTATAATTTAGGAACAAACCAGATAAGATAATTGGTCTTGGATTTTGGAGCGAAATTCACTCATCCATTTGAGCAAATAGAGTGTTGGCATTAGAGCTGATGTCAGTTCGTGATGAAAACCCTAAATGTAATTCCTAACCTTGACCATCAACTGTAAATCATAATTCTAATTCCTCATGATAGTTTATATCCCTCATTTGGTCCTGGTTACTAAGTGGACACTCTCAAGGTCACTTTAGGATTACTCAAAGGTTGTCTATAAATTATGATCTTGCCGAATTGGAAAATAGCTACGAAATTATATAACCTGTCTATGTATATATAATAAGTATTCAAAGCTAAACAAGCGTTTTTAAGCAATTTTCAGTAGTTGAATTAATAAGTCCATCTAAGCTAGACCACCTTTGAACACCTGGAAGAACTGAACGGCCGTTTCAACCTAGTATGAGGCTCTTCATCGATGAGCATCCACTGCAAAGCGACCGTCCAGTGCTTTCAGATATTCAGTGGTGATCTAGCTTAGATTGACTCCTGAATTCAACTGTTAAAATACCACAATCTCCACAAATCCACATAGTGATAATTCCCAGCTGGCCTAAATGGATTCGGAACTCAATAATTTGTCGAATCACAAGTAATGAATGAATACTATAAATTAACACATCTTTGTTACCACTTATCCATATGAATTTATTTAACAATACGTTTTTATTCCTAATTTTATATTACAAACTTGAAACTTTCAACTTGAATAATTACAAGCTCCTGTTAACAGATCAAACTCCTACTGCTTAACGAAGGAATACAAATTTAGTGTTTCATGTCAGAATGAATCAAGTGACATAGATAGTTGCACAGTATTAATCAATATATTTATGCTTGATTTTCAATAACTTAACAAAATTTGTATTTTTGTTAAATATAGTCTCCTAGTGTAATGATTTCATTGCTTTCTTATATGATGCTAATAAATCCTACCATTAATATGACTAACATTCTATGTAGAGATGACATTAGTCAATTTCAAAGTGCTGATAAATTAACCAGACTTTTGCTTAACCAAATTACAAAGTATTTTTTAGAATGTAAGACTAGAGTCCTGTAGCACAGAAATATACCTGAATAGCTCATTAACAAACATTATTTTTACCGTTGAACTAAAAGAAGACATTATTTTAAATTTTCAGTGTTGAACTGTTTCTTATAACCTTTGAAGTTATCCGTTGTAATGTACCTGTGCTTTTAACCTCGAGGTAGTAGATAATTCTTATCCTACTTTTTGTTATAATTTTTCCTAATTTTGATCTTATGATCCTGTGATAAGTGGTAACTTCGATTATAATTGTTACAACTACAAGCATTCATTATCTTTAGTCATATGATCTTACATCATATGTCAATCCAACTTATACATTTCACGGACAACAATTTATGCAATTAAATGAATTATTATCGTTTCGCTTCAATTGTTCTATCGTTTTTATTATAACTTGTTAACTAAACCATTTCTATATAATAGAACTTTAATTCAGTAATATACAAGTGTTGAAACTGTTTTTTTTAAACAAACATATGATATAACCAGAAAACTATTTTTCGAAGAAATTTATATTCCAAGTATACATTCTGAAAGAAAAAGTAAACCCATTCTTTGAACGACAAAAGTTATTCAGGTCATATCGATCGAATACTGGATTAACATTGAAACTCGACTATCTCTAATGCAATAGCATCCACTTTTATTTCAAAATGAAGAAATCAACTTTTTTCACCGACAAAAATATAGCGATTGAAGTTTAATCATATTTTTTTTGATATTTGTATTTCTTCATTACAGGCAAAGCGTCTATCATCTGCTATGTTTGTTCCTACTCTAAATCATAATATGAATGATGACCGAAATGGAATTCTGTTGAAACCTCAAGGTTCTTGGCTTACATCTCCATCAAGACAAAATAATTTGATACTAGACTTACCAGCGAAGAAATATATATCTGAAGAATTACATCCAGTTAGTATAAGTTCTATAACACCAACAGATAAAACTCAAGTAGTAAATAGTGGACAACATATATCATTGAGGAATGTTTTACAAGATGCTAACAAGTTGAACGGTCCCGTTGTCACTCCAACAGCAAACAATCCTTTATGGCCTTATACATGCTGGTTCGCTGGAACTCCTAATCAAGATACTCCAATACCTGCATTACTACTTGATAATGTTACAAGGGGAACGCTGACGAATCAAACTGTAATCCCTTTTGTAACGCCAACGGATAACAATCCACTCCTTTTAAGTTTATCGGCTATAGAATTGGCTAAAAAGTAAGTGTTTCTAGTGACTTTTTGTAAAACGTCATCTGATATTTCATTTGCATCAATTAAAACATATACTTGTCTCTTTCCCTTGTCAGAATGGGTGACGTTCACTGTAACCATATAGTAGAAATATCTCTCTATTTAATTACTTCACTACATGAAATAATAGGTAGATTTTAAATGTCAAGTAGAACTATTGATAACGTTTTCTATATACGTTTACAACAAACTTAAATAGTGTAATAAGACGGTAAAGATTATCAGAACTATATAATATATTTGAGTAATACATTTCGAACAATTTATATATTATAGAAGTAGGAATGTGACCAGATTGTTCAAAATGTATTATGCTAAAATATCATGTAGCTCTAATAATCTTTGTCTTCTTATCACCTTATCCGAATTTATCAAAGGGACTAATTACTTTAAATTACAGCAAACTGTTGTCAAATAGATGAGTATGTGTATATTATTGGCTTGAAAATGAGCTTGAATGGTTTTTATCTATTGTACTTAATAATACTGCATTGAATTGTGTAAAAACGAATTTTGCATATATTTGCTGAGGTAATGCAATAGATAACAACTCAAAGATTTGACATTTTGCAAACATAAATTATTCAAAATATGACGATATCACAGGAAAATATAACGATGGACTACAGATATATATTAACTGTTTTAGATAAAACATAAGAAACAGTTCAGGACGGTAATATTAGAGGCAATCCACTCAGGATACAAACGAGTCAAAACAGACTGATCGAAGATTCAAACAACTAATACAGATAAAACAATATTTGCCCCATTGTACAACCCAGTGGCTATCTGGACTCAGTAACCAAGTAGAAAACGCGTTGGCGTCGGCTTCGAGTCCCTTTGTCAATATCAATTCTAAAATCCAAGTATAGCCATTTGACTTAGACCAACTAGGACGAAATGAGCGTATTGAATTCCACTGCTAATCACCATCCGACTTTAATTGTTGCACAGTTTTAAAATCAACTATTTCACTGAACATATTTTATGAATACATTTTCTAGGATATCTATTCAACATTACTATTTTCAATCAGTCAATTTATTTTGTAACCAGTATTGTTACACAAAATAGAACTGAAGTTTTTCTAGAATTTCCACAACGACAAGTACAAACTAGAATGAATGTGTAAATTTCACATTAGAAAAACTACCCCCCCCCCCAAAAAAAATGAAATTTTATTTTTTTTGTACATAGATTTGCATATATAGGAGACAGTTTTTTTTTTTTTTTAAATCTGTCAAATACTTTCCCAACTGGAAACATTGAGACACAGAGGAAAGAGACAGTTACAAAAGCAAAAAATCGAAAATCATAAACTGTTCTTTGGAAAGGAAATTAATTGTTTAACAATGATGAAGTATCATTTCAATGATAATGTAAAAAAATATGCTCATACTGTGTATTAACTCACTTATTTCAATTTGATATTATGAAATTGTTCGTATCAGAAATATCTAGTCAGCGAATTCAGTAAAAAGCACAATTTCATAGTTTATATTATGGACTGATCGTAGTTAGACAACCATTAGTGTTAAATATGTAAACTAATAGACACCGACTCAGTGATCTAAAATTTAAGCGCTTGTCTACAGGTCATGAATTTAATCCTCGGTTGAATAGTAGATACACAGTGATGAGAAGTTTCTTAAGGAGTTGAAATAGCTTTTAAGTAATTACTGGTTTCCAGCGATGATCCAAGATCAATCTATGATATAAACTGTGTATGTTAGCAATCTCCATAAACATCTATAGTAAAAACAAATCAAAATACCACACTAAAACATTGATCAACACAGATTCAATTAATTATTGAAACAACTGTTATCGCGAACAGTATTATTTAGAGAACTGTTGTGAATCAAATAGGGTATTATTATCTCATAAAGTGAGATAAATAGGATATTAAGCATCCTTTTGAAATGTTGAATAATTTATAATGCATTATTCTTCAAACATGGTTGAAACCTTTCCACAAATAGTTCATAACAAGACCATGAATTTATAGTGATGAATAGTCCAAAAGACATTTATTTTTAAACTTATAATAACTTAAATGTCATATACATTCTAGGTTCATAAATCTTTGTTGTCAAAACGTTTATTTTAAATCTCAGTCTTATGACAACATTGGTTTTTGATCAAGTATGTAAGATATGTAAATATATCTCCTCTTAAACTTAATTCCCGAGATATTTATATCATTTCAAATTTACTGAACTTTGATAAGTATGGTAAACAGACTCCACTTGCAGTTATTTTGAATACATATCTTGCATAGTGGATAAGTGAAACTTGTTTTTGTGAATCCTTAGTAAAATAAAAACATATTTTCTCTTAACTGCTAATAGTATAGAATCTGTATACGTTCAATTTTGTCATGCCCTTCAATTAACTTATTTAATTGACAGTGTTATTAGGCCACTAACAATTTGTCTCCATCTCTGCATTATTATTATCATGCTTCTATGAGCAGGTATGGTTGGTTACGTGTTACAGTCAACACACATATGCTTTTTATTAGCTTAAGTTCTGGTTCCTTAAGTCACTTGACGGTGTAGTCACTTTTCTACATATATATGCCTCTTAAATTCTATGGATTAATTTTTCCGCCCGCATTCATTCATATTCACATCGTGTGCTTGTCGCTTGATGATCTGAGCTGTAATCAACGTTTCGTATTGTCTTTTAAAATTTGTACACTACTGAGAGTTATTTAATAACTGTTATCGGAAAGAATGATATACAAAGTCTAGGAATTATCTGCAAGAAATGGCACCACAGAACCGAGCACGTCGGGATCACCGGTTCTGTTCATGTTTAAAAAGTAAGTATTTAAGAGTGCAATAAGAAACGATGTTTTATAATGTGAAATGATTGTTCTATAATTATGAGAGTCAGCCCTCTGTGTATTAAAAAGATAGTTATTCCGTGGAATAAATCTATTTGTTCTTTATACTTCAATTAACAATATATTTGCTTCACAGTCTTATTAAATATGGTTTTAATCTACGTAAAAACATGTAACCATTCTGTAACAGCTTTCTTGTTAAACAATTTGTTTTACCTTTGTTCAAATGCTTATTTCCTTTTTATTTTAATATTACTATAATTATTTCAGTTACCAATCAGAGAAACCTGAGATTAACATCATTCCTAACATAACAAATGCTCAATTCTCTGATAGTCAAGCTAATTTTTCAAATATTGGAGGAATTCAAAATGCATTAATAAATCATAAAACTCCTGTATATCAAAGTATTAATAACAGCAATAATAATAATAATAATAATAACGGTACTTCACCATGTGATATACAACAACACATGTTAAATTTAAAAAATATAACCATTCCAAATTTGGATCTGACTAATTATTCAGCATTATCTAATATTCCATTGATTACATTTTCAGCATATCCATTCAATTCTACAAATATTCCACCATTTATTCATACAACAAATGCTAATGTATCTGGTACTATTGTGAATACAACAAATAATAATGAAATTGATAAAAATTCAATACATCAATCTGCTCAATTATCCAATTTTGGACAATATACTGTATATAATACAACAACAGGTAAGTATAACTATATGTATATATATTCCAATGAAAAATCAGTCATACAGAATGTAATATCCGAGCGAAGATTAAATCACGAGTAACTTCTGAGACAAGTTAATTGACTAATATTATCTATATACTCTTATGGTATAGCTATTCAATAATTAGATTATGTATATCTATATTCCTCATATTACAAGCTTTATTTTGACTTATAATTTATTATTGTACGATTTACTGTTCTTAGGCTATGTTCAGTTTATTGACTACTGCCTCCCACGTTCACAGTCACTTTTTGGCTTTATTGTGTACAAATGTTACTTCCTATTTTATGGTGCGTTGCGGTCTGTTTGTTTGATATATAAACCCAGTATGTCTGAAATATTTGATTCAATTCGGTTCGCTTAGTGGAAGCTGGTATTGGTGTTTCGGACTCAAGTGAACGAGCTAGGTGGACATAGGACCAATAAGGACGCTTGGCTGCTCATACCGGTCGAAAGTCATTGGTTTGGCACAGTGCTAAGATTGTATAAGTCGTATTTTGATTGATGGATAAATCACGTGATAAAAAGCCTGACATAATCTCATAACATAGAGTCTGATATTGGTAAGAAAAAATGTATCGATAATTTGTGCTCAAAATTCAAATATTCCTAATTATTATAAAATTTAGTCATAAAGAATAGCATACAAATGCGATACATTTTTTACACTTATTAACTGTTACTGACTTTTATGAACAAATAATATGAAGATTATTTTTGAGTGAGATCATGAATTGATTGTTGTTAGACCATCGTTGAAAACCTGGAAGCACTGAACGGCTTTTTCGTTCAAGTATGGTACTCCTCAGCAGTACGTATCCACGATCTCATACTCGGGATCTGAACCCAGGACCTTCAATCTCGCACGCGAACTCTTAAAATGTAGACCACTAATTTCGTCCAATGTAAATTAGTATGGATAATAAACTTGTTTCATTTGGGTCCCATTGAATTACATTATAATTATGTAAAAAGTTTAAATACGCAAAGGTAGTGCACATCAAATTATTTTTTTCATAATGATACGTATAAAACACTATAATTGTATTATTAGTGTCGATAGTGTCCAAAACATCTTTGAAATTCATCTCAAATATAGCTAAACGTTTTTCCCGTTAAACCACTGACGACTCTTTTTAAATGGAACATACATTCTAGTAGATATTTTAAAATAAAATATTTCTAGTCTCAAATGTTTCATATAATCTAGTGAGTAAACAATTTCTTTTGAATTCACTTTACGAGAAGTTTTCCAGATTGTGAAATACAGCACAGAGGACAACATACATTAGATTTTTCTGTCATTGCGGAACGTAGACGATAGTCAGTAATTGGTAAGGGCATGGAGCTAAGAGTCTCTAGGAATCAGCGACCACATGCATGCCTTTAATCCGGCATGAACTTACCTTAACTGATTGACATGCCTAATAATATAATAAGGTCAAAGATACATTTTCTTCAACTGAATCTATATTGTTAAAAGAATACTAAATTTATAGTTTTCATTTAAGAGATAAAAACATGAAATTCGGCGAAAGGATCTTGTTTCAATAAATTTATCATCAAACTGTACACGGTGAGACTATAATTTATGGATGAACAAATCAGATATAAGATAATAGGTATTGGATTTTGGCACGAAATTCACTCATCCATTTGACTAAATAGAGTTTTGGCATTAGAACTAATGTCAGTTCGTGATGGAAACCCTAAATCTAATTCCTAACTTTAACCATCAACTGTAAATCATAATTCTAATTCTTCACATTGGTTAACAACCCTCATTTGGTCCTAGTTATTAGGTGATTATTCTCAAGGTCACTAAAGCGTCGCTCAAAGGTCATCCATAAATTATACTCTCACCCTATACACTTTTAACGATTAACTCTGTGAGGAAATATAATCCGTGACTAAACAAGACGATGTCACTGAAAGATTACAATATTATGATACATAGCGTACGTAGATCCGTTCATTGAATCTCGTGTTTTTGAAAAAAAGAAAATTAATCACAACGGTAAGGATTCTAATTCACTGATAAATAATGAACATAAAAGCATATTAAACATTTGAAAACACTTTGAAAAAGTCAACCAAAACAAACTTTAACTCATTTTATCTTTGACTATATTCATAAAACTAAATCATAATATTTATATTTATTTAAATAATTATTAAACGTTTCACCATTTAACGTAAAATATTCTTTCATACTTATTTGGTAAATAGATAGTACGTAAATTAATAAATTTATATCTTTATTGATAGAAAATGATTGTTAAGAACAGAAGAAATCATTATAAGCAAAGATGGATAGTGACTAGCAATGGAATCCAAGACACGCGTTTCGTCCTAAGCAAAACAACACTAAGTGAATTTAAATTCACCTCATTGCACAAGCAAGTGGCTATCAGGACTCAGTAACTGAGTGGATAACGCGATGGCGTTTGAAGCTAATGGTACTGGGTCCGAGTCTCAAAGTGAACATTAACTCTGAGATGCAAGTACATCCAGCTAGTGTGTCCCAAATAGGACGAAACGTACGTCCTGGATTCCACTGCTAGCCACTATCCATCTTTGCTTATGAAAGCTTGTGAATCAAGGCAATATCGAGGCATACGCACAGTATGCACATATGACAATAATAGACTGATTAATTACAGTCTTAAATCTCAATGGGAAGATACAGGCAAAATAATGCCAAGTGAGAAGAAATCATTGTTTAAATATTTATTATGTTACTATATCAACTACTGATAAAAATCGATGTGCATTTATGAATACATATTAGCTCTATACATTAAGAACAATCATAAAATACAGCCTAAAATGTGACATTAAATCAATTCATTAAGTTGCGTCAAAATAAACCTAGACATATAATTTTACTATAAAGATTAAACATGATTCTGTATTCAGCTGTTAGATGTTAGATTATGTGGTGTAAATAATAGCAATAAAAGATGGTGTGTAAATAAAAGGACGAAAGAAAATTAACAATGAATTGTTATTTGAATGGAGTAATGCAACTAAAATGTTTTTGTCTCAATAATTAATGACATTACATGGGTTAAATGAAAAACATTGATATCTCAAGCAATTGTAGTGTCAGTTACTATGTTAAGCCTACATAACTTATTCTAGCTTCTGGACAGTCCAATTTATCCATTTATCGTGAGTCACGTTTTGACTTTGTTAACTGTTCACTTATCAACACTGACTGTTTTTATATGAGCGCAGGTGTGTACACTTATCCTACTCATCACATAACTTTATTTTTGTTAACTATAAATATTAATTAACGCTTGATTAAATGGAGTTGGCTCACATGGCTTCTCCACAGTGCGTAATTTCTCTCTGCTCTCTCTTCTTCACTCCATTCTCTGACTGTCTGTTCCGATTATCGAGTGTACAAAATATACATATTCAAGCATCCATTCTCGTATTTGGCTTATGTTATTCCGTTATACGGTAAAAGGAACGATAAAATACATTTCTTTTGTGCACATAGATCAGCTTTTATTTCTTGGAGGACAAGAGCTTCTACTGCTTTAAGTAGTTGAATATGAAGAAAGCTTGATTGATTTAGATAAATTCTATAAGCAACCTTAAAATAAACCTGTTGATCAGTGAATTTATTACAATCGACTAAATATGTAAAACTACATTGAATAATTTTCTTGCATTCCTGCTGAAGAGTAAATGTTTTTAAATTGTTTAACGGTTTTTCCATTTATTAACTTCAACTACAGCACTATTCCAATGTATACATTTTCTATTTATATAAGCAAACCATTATATCTCGACGACAGTTATGAATGGTAACTCTTTAGAACTAATTATGGACCAATACGATACATATAATTTTTATTAAATAATTAGTAAGTAGCTAAACTATGCATATTCATGTTCCTCTTATTAGAAGCTTTATTATGAATCATAGACTATTATTATATGATTTACTGTTCTTGAGTTATGCCCAGTCTATTTATTACGGTCTCTCATATTCACAGCCACTTTTGACCAGATCTTGTATAAATGTTATTTTTTATTTTATGGTGTGATATGGTCTATTTGGTTGGTACATGAACCCAGTATGTTTGAAATATAAGGATTCATATTACAGAGGCTGAGATTGGTGTTCTGAACTTAACAGGTAGTGCTAGGCTGGAAGAAGAACCGAAAACAATTCTAGACTGTTCGTACAGATTTTATACGTCATTGGTCTCAATGACATATCACTATTCTCTAATTGGCGGTATGATTACGTTGTATAATAATAGGGCACATGGCCACACAAACATAAAAAGCCATGAGCAGATAAATTACAATTCCATATATGTTGATGACAGGTTTATTGTCTGTAACAATAAACAGCATGAAATCCGCCTGCTAAAACTCTTCAATAACGCTCATTCTAACATACAATTTCCTATAAAACACGAACAGAATGACATGTTCCACTTTCTTGATGTTGCTATAAAACGTAGGAGAGACGGAACAGTCCAACGTTTGCTTTATCAAAAAAGTACTTGGAATGCCTTTACCTGAATTTCAATAGTTTTTGTTCACTCAGTTACAAGAAGGCATTAGTTAAAGCACTATTTTATGGGACAGAAAGGATATGTACCACTGACAAACTGGAAGAAGAATTGATGGACATGGAAAAATGCCTACGAGGGAACTTTTATCCACAAAAGTTTATTGACAAATATAAAAAGCGCAAAGAAAACAAGAATAAAGTAATTACGGTCAATAAAAAACCAATAACTATAAATCTTAACTTCAAAGGTGATGATGTTGCAAACACAATCAACAGGAGACTGAATACTGCGCTAGCCAAAACTTATCCGGCGGCCAAACTTCTGATTCTGTACAAAACAACATGTTCAATAACTCAATCAAATGTTGATAAGCATCATTTTCATGTTACCGCCAATTGTATTTATAAATTTACGTATAACTGCCAAAGCAGCTACATTGACCGAATAGAAAGGAGGGCATATCTCAGACTTTCTTCACATGCTCCAAAAAGCCTCGGAACAAGAGAAAGAAAGACTCTAAAAAGTGCAATCACCAAACATCTCCTTGATACAGAACATCAGGTCGATACCCTACAATCATTCAAGGTGATTAGTAAGCAGCCAATCTCCAGTCTTCTGAAGTTTGCTGAAGCAGTTGTTATCAGACGCCAAAAATCTGATTTATGTGTTCAAAAAAAGTTATTAATCTTTTCTTGCCTTGGTGACAAATACTCTTTCGCTGCATGTTAATTTTTTTTCTTTTTCTTTAAACTGTTTATTGCATTTATTACATCATTGAGTTTTATTTCAACTATCTGCCAAGTCAATAGTCTTATTTTATCAACTGAGCTCTACTCACTATATTCCTATCAATATTTATTCATCATATAATCACTTGTTTCTGACCTTTTGAACTGTTGTCACAATCAATGTTGTAGAACGTACTCTCACACAAGGTATACATTTAGAATATTCCGTCTATTAATTTTATTTACACCCTATACGAATATGTCATCAATATAACTTGCAACCAAACTCTTTCATGTAAGTAATTTAAACCCATTATGTACTTGTCATTTGAAATATGACAGGTTGTAAGCGGCTGACGAGAACCTACGAAATTAAATGAATTCATGCTGTTCTGCTCGAATCTTTGTTCTTGCTCTTTTCAAAATGATAAAGGGAACTATGTGTATGAAATTACATATTACATTTTATCCTTCAATTTTACACTGACATTACTGAACATATGATAAACTCTAGAAATTATAGAAATATATAAACAACACAACTGTTTACTCATAAATAGTATACCAAATTATATATATATATATATATATATATATATATATATATATATATATATATATAGAGAGAGAGAGAGAGAGAGAGAGAGAGAAAAATGACAGTATTATTCTCAGTCAGATATTTACATTTAGAACAAACAAAGATTAATTCATTTCAACAAAACAACTTGGATTGTATAATGATAACATTTGTAAACAATCAGCTTTTTCTTACTGTACTAATCCAACAGGAATATTAAAAATCTATTCACTAATTAAATTCCTTATTGATTTTAAATAATAGCGGGGGAATTAATTTTAAAATATTAAAATTTATCCTCATCAAGTGTAGTTGTTTTTTTTTAAATTTTGATGTTTACAGTTCAAAGTCAGATCATATAAGTGATATAATGAATACATTCTACAGATATGTAGAACTGATTAATTTGTAATGTTCATTTATTAAATATAACTTCTTCATAAACATGTATGTTTTTAATTATTGAATTCATGAGTCAATTTATGCCAAACCATCGTTGAAAACTTAAGAGCACTGATTGACTGTTTCGTTTTATTGTAGGACTACTCAGTAGTGCTCATCCACGATTCCTCATGCGATGTTAGAACCCGGGACTTTCAGTCTTGCGTGTGAGTACTTAATCTCTAAATCACTAAGTCGACATACAACATTGTTAATGTCTAACTTCAATCGATCCACAACCAATTCTGATAGTATTCATGTGCTCAATAATGACTAGCTTCAAGACGGATTTCCTGGATATCTAGTACGAATCCGTGACCAATGGAGTCCTATCCGTGTCAAGTGTAAGACAGTTTTCCACCTCGCCGAATGGATGAGGGGTTGGTCAAGATCGTGGATTGGTTGAAATCAGACATTTACACTGTTGGATGCCACCTAAAAGGTTTAAAGATTATGTTCGTGCGTAAGTCCACCGGTCCTGGGTTCGAGCCACGCGCATGAGATCGTGAATGAGCACTGTTGAGGAGTCCCATACTAGAACGAAACAATCATTCAGTGCTTTTAAGTTTTCAACGGTAGTCTGGCTTAGATCGATTCATTAATTCAACTTTAAAATTAGTACAATTTTCACAAATCCTCATTCTGATAAAAATGTATGTAGCAGAAAACACTGAATTATTAAATTATTTTATTCAAATTATATAAATACAACAAATCATATCTAAAAGATGGTATAAAAGTAATAAGAGTTTTATTTAAACTATTATGAAATTTTGTTCGAATTCATTCCATGAATATTAGTTAATAATGATAAGTCGTTTCATTTAGACTGAAAACCTTCAGGACTTCATAAATACAAACCTAGTCATTAACTATTCTAGTTAACGAATAGTTTGGCGAAAATCTATGTTTTCCGATGATTACAACTGATTTATTTACTAAATATGACTAAAACATTATTTGTTTTATAAATACACGTATCAAGTATGATTAATTATCTGCTTCAATATATCATTACTTGTATTTAGATAGAGTAATAATGAGATCTACATCTTTAAATAAACATGAAATGACTATTGTAATACACTTCAAACCAGTTATATGATCATAAATTAATTATTTGAAATATATTTTTAAGAAATAAAAAGATTCAAACCAGAAAACAAAGAACCACATAATTAATAAGATAAGAAGAATAAGTTTACAGATACCATCTATTAAACATGAGAATTCAAATCAATATTATCAGGGTAGTATAACGTAAGTACGACTTAAAACACACAAAGAAGATATTAATTTTTATGTAATTGAGGATTTAATCAATTTAGGTACTAGTCTTCTATCAGTTTCCTATAACACTAGAAAGGTTGTTTTAAATCAACCGTGTAACACATTTCTGTCAAAAAATTTAGAAGCATTTATAAACTTAACCAGTGAATTAGTATTTTTATACAAGAAAGTCTATGTATGTTGAGGTTTGAATACAAAATGATCCAAACACTTTTGGTATGTTCTTTTTTTAAGTTTTTATGGCATTAAAACCGTATGTGTTAACACTTTTTATAACCAGTTCAATATATTTAGTTAGTTATTTGGGGAGTCTTAACTCAATTTTACCGCGACTTGTTTGTTTCAAGAGTATCGATTTCAAGAACTAGATAGAATCAAAGTAACATATACATCTATTATATAATGAATAGCATTAACATTTCTAGTTGATAAGTAAATCGATACAGTTTTAAGTAATGGACTAACTTCAACCACTCAGTCGTTGAAACCATAGTCCGCTGAAGAGATTTTGTTCTTGTATGAAATTTCTCAATAGTTTAATCATACTAGAGATGGAACGCGTATCATCCAAAATATAATAATCACACAATATCATCAACTAGCAGATATAATAAACAAGAACTACTGAATATTAAGTAAGTGATTTAAGGATAAAACTCTTCTTGCTAGTTCAGAAATTAAAGGCTGTAATGCCTGAAGAAGAAAACTATGTGTACTACAAATGTGTCTATACAAAAGATGAAACAGATATTCAATGTTCCTTAATTTTTAATAGTTCTCCAAGTGAAATCAGTTACTGGATAAATGTATCATCATAATGACAACATAAACAAACTATTTTATTCAACTGTTAACATAAATACATAGTATTTGTTCAAATTGATTAAATTGTTCTCTATTGTTTTCATTCTTAAATCTATTCTTCACCTCAGACCTTTTGTTATTGTTCTTTTTACGAATTTTGTTTAATAATTAGTACTTCTTTTTATTTTATAGGTTAAATGAATCAATCAATCAATCATCATTATCTTCATGATCTTCATTATCATCATTATCATTATCTTCATCAACGTTATCATTACTATGATGGAGATTATATATGAACAATTTTGAAATAAAATTATAGTTTAGTTAATTCTTATTAAATCTATTATCATTACAAATTATTGATTATTATCATTATTTTTTACTTTTATTCAATTGATTGTTAAATTACAATTACAGAGTAAATAAATCAATAAAACAAAAAATAAACATTATTACATAATGAACTACCCCCCTTGTTTTTTAAAAAAAAAAGAAAAAGTAAAATAAACAATTCACTTAGAATTGAATTTATTTACCATATAGTAACAACTTCAATCTTATTTCTTTACACATTACAAATCAATATTTTTATTGTGATTGTGTTTATTCAATTATTGTTTTTTTTGTTTTAATGAAACGAAAGTTATTGATTATTATTGACTAAAGTATATTGATTACCTTTATCTTAACTGTACACATCGTATATAATAATTATAAAATGCAATTGTATTTTACATCCTCTCAACATGATCCATATGATACACATATGATTCTTAAGGAGAAAAAAAATTAAATGATGATTTGTTTGTTTGTTTGTTTTTCTCTTTTATTGTCCAGATTAATCAATAATGATTTCACATATATTCTTCCGATCGTTACTCATTTCTTTTTTTTTTTTAAAGGAACTTGATAAACCATTTTGAATAGTGAACATCATTTGTTACTTTTTTTCTTTCTCTTCTGAAATTCTTTCACAACAACACACTTTATTGTTACTTGTGTTTTATGTTTACCTGTTTTTTGAAAATATTAAATAAACGAATAAATAAGTGATTTCACTTATACAAAACTAAACCCAAAAACAAATAAGAATTTTAATGTAATATGAAAATAAAAATAAATAAATTTAACTGTTTTTTTTAATTATGTAAACAACTTTTGTTTTATGATGAGCTGGCCAACTAAAATAGTTAGTTTTTATTTATTTAATTATTTATTTAAATAAGGATTGTAAATAAAAGTAACAAAACAATTGAACATTTAAATTTAATAAAATAAACGATTGAAGATTTCAATTTTTAGCAGTTTGTGGAGATTTTAGAAATTTCATAGATTGAAATCATGAGTCAATTGAAGCTAGACCACCATGGAAAACCTGGAAGCACTGGACGGCCGTTTCGTTCTAGTATAGGACTGCTCAACAGTGCGCATCCACGTTCTAGTGAGAAGCCGTTACCAGTGGAATTCAACCAGGCGCAACTTCGTGGATTGGTTGAAATCAGACATTAGTACCATTGGATGCTGGCCGGCTCAGTGGTCTAGTTGGTTAAGCGCCTGACGCGAGACTGGTAGGTCCTGGGTTGGAATATCGCGGGATGCGGGATCGTGGATGCGCAATGTTGTGGAGTCCCATACTAGGACGAAATGGCGGTCCAGTGCTTCCAGGCTTTCCATGGTGGTCTAGCTCCAATTGACTCATGATTTCAATCTGTGAGATTTCAATTTTGTCGAAAAATATAATTTGTGAAAATATTGGAAATTTAAGATTTTCAATGTTTTATTGGACAATACGTAGCATTGCAGTATAAAACAAAATTTAACTATTCATTTTAAACAAATATATAATTGAGAATAGTAGGTATTTCCTTAAAATATTGAAATGCATAGAAGCATTATGATATTTCTAAAATTAGAATACTTATAAATTATATACTGGAAGTACAAACTATATTAGTTTTACTGAAAATATTCATATAGCATATTAGGATTTATTTATTTAAACACATATATATTGGTACAAAAAGGCACCAAATAGATATGCGCTATACAAATCATTGAATTTGTATGAGGGTTGGGATACAGTCCAAGTGCCTAAACCGAAGCAGGCAGTCTTCTTAGGGGGCCATACACCGAGCTTTCGACCTGAAGGTCTGATCCACTAGGCAGTAGAGCAACGTGAGGAGATGACGTCCCACGATAGTTGGTGACCAACAGTTGGTTCATATGCCATTTGTTCCTTCAGGATACAGGAGCACATATGCAATATTGGTTTGGAATCAGGGTTTTCCAACTCCCCTGGGTGAACTCTCCGTGTTGACCAACCCAGTTAAAGCGCCAGACATTTGCTTTTCGTCCTCTCAATTTCGTAAACAACACTTGTGGTGCAAGAAGGCAGTGAGTGAGACTTCCGTCGCAGTGGCTGTATGCTCGTGGCCACATGAGAGCATTTTGAGAGGGAGGGCTGACTCTCTCTACTTTTGGCCGTACCAGGGTATTTGGGAGCTTATTAGGATGCCATAGGTCATATATCCTTTTATACTGGCAACTGTACGGCGTTAAATCTTTTTTATTTGTGTTATGACTAAAACCTGAATTTTTGCTATATCACGTACAATCTGAACCATCCAAGTCGTAAGTTAGAAGACAGAAGATGAGTAAAAATAAATCTTATTCCAACTAGTCAAATGGGGTGCAAAACACTCCTGTATTTATCATTTTATCAAAAACGAAATAATCATTACGGTCATCTAATGCACATGCAGCGCTAATTTCAAAAAGGGCAGTGATTTTTGTACTTGTTGTGATTACACTTGCTTTTGGTACTTATTGCACTAAAAAGCATTCTTGGTCTACTTTAACTAAGAGTTCTTTGGTTAAAGTTTGAAATTTTTTGCTACGTTTTGTCCTGGGTACCTGTTTTTAGTCCTTGACTAAGACTTGTGTTCACATTGTTATCGTTTTTTGTTTTTAAACCTTTTAAATCGAATTACAATGGTTGGTAAGACTCACAAATGTGGGCAACCAAATTGTTTGTTCTCCGTTGAGGAGGGAATGCAGTGTGACGACTGTAAAAAGTGGTATCACAAAATGTGTACACGACTAAGTCCGACGGCTTACAAAAGATGCTCGAAGCCTAACTCGCATTGGCTTTGTGTGTTCTGCTGTACGGATAAAAAGGTACTAATACAGGAGGCTATGGGCCTATTGGCTTTGGCCTGCAAGAAAAACGATGGCGGAAGCACTGATAACAGGAGTACTGACGATGAAGAATGTGTCAGTGTAGTAAGTGCTGCTACTAGACCCATTAAACACCTGACTGCGGTTGACGGGATTGTGAAATCTCCGTTGACATTAACGAGAAATGAAGTGTCGCCTGATATTGACATCGGCAGTCATACACCTCTAGTCGAAATAGAAGATCAGGATAAAACTATCACCGTTCCACATAGTCCAGGTGTGGCTGTTCTGAGTGGTGACAAATGGACTCCGGTAAGAAGAAAAAAAAATAAGAAGAAAAAGGCTGTAGGCAAAACGCAGCTGGTCAGCAAGACATTGGAAGGGACTTTATCAGAAGAAAAATCCTCACCGCGTGAAAAGATAGATCTCTCTGAGAGATCAGTCATTTTTCATAAGATAAGAGAATCTTCAGACACTGAACCAAAGACAAGATTTGAACATGATCTCAATCATATTAAGACATCATTAAGTAAACTACTCCCAGATACAGTTTCAGGAGTTAGTATTTGTAAGCTTTATAGAATAGGAAAAAAGGTGGATTCCGAAAGTCCTCAGAAAAACCGCCTCCTAAAGGTTACATTCAACACGGTGGAAGAAAGGAACCTGGTTCTAAGTAATTCACGTAAACTGATTGGGTCCGGAATATATGTCCGTGAGGACCTCAGCCTAGCTGATCGTATTAAGAGAAGGGCTGCAGAAGCGGAAATAAACGAGCGTCGCCGAAACGGTGAAAGAAACCTCGTTCTTAAGGGTTTTCAGATTGTAAAAGTTCGGAGCAAAACGATCCCCAAGCCACTCTGGGTGGCAAGGGAAAGCTCTCCACAGACTTAAAAGTGTGCTACACAAATGCTCGCAGCCTACTAAATAAAATGGCGGAGCTGAAGTCAGTGGTGGATAAAGAAAAACCGGACGTTATCGCTGTCTCGGAAACTTGGTTAACGTCAGAAGTATTAGATAGTGAAATCCAATTGACTGGTTTCATAACCACTAGGGCTGATAGATTAAACCGAAGGGGAGGCGGGGTTATTGTGTACACGAAAAGTACCCTAACCATAAGATTAGCTGAGACAGTAGCACATGTTTCAGGGACATGTGAACTGGTGAGATGTAAGTTGAAATGCCGAAGGCAAGATATTGAATTAGTTGTAGTTTATTGCAGTCCAGAATGTGTAGCAGACGATTTTCTCCTCAGTAAACTTAAGTCCTGGTGTAACAACGGTAAAAGCCTTGTAGTAGGCGACTTTAATGCACCATATATAAACTGGGTTAACTTAGAAGTAGAGTCATCTATATCGTCGTTCGACTCCAAACTGTTAGAAACCTCGATTGGACTAGCATTATTCCAACACATTAGAGATCCCACAAGATACGACTTAAGAAACTCTTCCTCTCTTTTAGATTTAGTCTTCACACACGGTGAGGACGTTGGTCAAACGGCTTTTCTCCCACCACTTGGGAGAAGTGACCATGCAGTCATCTTATTCAAATTCATGGCTGAAATTGCTTCTCAAACAATTGCGCCGGCCCGTCCTAACATATGGAAGGCAGATATGCAGGCAATTGACTCCGCAGCATCGGCTGAGAACTGGGAAATTGACTCAAAGGCATCAGTACAAGAGGCATGGACTCTATTCAGACAGTTATACAATCGGGTAACTCAACCATATATACCCTGGACTGTCCCAAAGAAAAAGAAGCACGGACATCCCTGGTTAGGGCGGGATATTCGACGCTTACTAAGACAAAAGAAGAAATGCTGGGATGTTGCCATCCGCCTTGGCACAGCAGATACGATGGAACACTACAGATCGATAAGAAACGTGTGTATAACGAAAATTCGGGAAGCGCAAAGAAAATACGAAATGCAGCTGGCAGAATCTGCTCTCAAGCAGCCCAAGAGGATATTCTCGTACATAAACTATAGAACAAGGACTCATCACTGGATTCCCAACCTAATTAAAGTAGGAAGTGAATCTGAAATGATAGAGGAAGATCATGAAAAAGCTGAGATTATGGCTGACTACTTTGGGGCAGTTTTCACTCAGGAACCTCCTCTAGAGAAAGAACCAGACCCAATTACAGAGTCAACAAACCAGCTGCTCACCGTGGACTTCGACCAAAACGATGTGCTTAAGGTTCTTAGCACCCTAAACATGGAGAAGTCAACAGGACCAGATGAACTACACCCTAAAATCTTGAGACATATTGCCGAATATATCGCAGCCCCACTGACTGTGATATTCAAAATGTCACTTGAACAAGGTGTGTTACCTATGGACTGGAAGGACGCAATCGTCACTCCCATACATAAAACTGGTCTACGACAAGTTCCATCAAATTACAGACCCGTAAGCCTCACCAGTGTTGTTATTAAAATACTGGAAAGGATAATCAAACGGACCATAACAGCATTTATGGAAACCAATAACTTGCTGAACATGGCACAGCATGGTTTTAGAAAGGGTCTATCCTGTACAACGAACCTCCTTATAGCTAGGGAGCTCTGGATTAATGCGCTAGACAACGGAAACTCAGTGGATGTTGTCTACATAGACTTCAGTAAGGCTTTTGACAAGGTGCCAACTAATAGACTGCTATTGAAGTTGGCAAACCTTGGTATTGCCGGACCTCTTTTAAAATGGATTAAGGATTTCCTAGTAGGTCGTAGGCAAAAAGTAAGAATAAATTCCAAGTGCTCCATCTGGAGACCAGTACTTAGTGGAGTACCCCAAGGTTCCGTCCTAGGTCCTTTACTTTTTATAATGTACGTTAATGATCTTACAAGTATAGTACAGTCTCCAATGTTATTATACGCTGACGATGTAAAAATTTGGCGAGTAATAACTGGAGACACAGACACATTTACTCTTCAGGCGGACTTAAATAATATGATAAACTGGTCTAAAGAGTGGCTAATGCCTATCAACTC